GCAGGGGCGGGGGTTCTATCCCCAGGCCTGCTGTGCCAGCCCTGCTCCCAGGGCTCGCTGAGATGCCAATTGAGACTGGACATGGTGGCATGTGCCTGTAATCCCAGCACTTAGGAAGCTGTAAACAGGATAATCACGAGTCTGATCTGGTAGTGAGACCCTGAACACCCTGTAGACCCTTCCCTAAAATACAGGGGGAAAATAAGGAAAAAGAAATAAATTCATACTGGGAATGTAACACCCTGAACACCCTATAGACCCTTCCCTAAAATACAGGAAAAAAAAAGGAAAAAAAAATCCATACTGGGAATGTAAAAGATGAAATTTATTTATTAAGTTATTACTCATTTGCCAATTTAAAATGAAGGTTATAATACTAGAAAAATTGTTAGCTAAGTAATGCTATTTCTGAGCTAAAAAATGGAATCTATAATTCAGATTCTTTACCTCCTAAGTTTAGTTTTGACCAAACATATATATTTAATGATATGAATCATTATATATGATATATTTAGCAATATAATCATTATATGTTATATATTTAACGATATAAATTGTTAAATTCATTTCCTTATTATAATTCAAATAAACTTCCTGATGCTAATTTTGCGGCAGAGACTCATAAACAGGACTGCTGCACTGTGTCTTGAGTCAGTACTTATTAAGAATAGGCCAATATTTTCTACCAAAGCACTTACAGTTTGCACTTTCATTTTTACTAATGATTTCAAAGAGCAAAATACTTGTCCCATCATTCTTGTTACCATTCTGAAGAAGTTCCAGAGCATCAGACTGTGTCGAAGGGTGAGAGTACCTAGCATTCTGACAATGCATCAGCTGTAAAGTACAGAGAGACACTCACACTCTTTTCAGAATTTTACTCTGCTCCTCGCTGCCACCCCATCTTTCTCCCTTACTCAGATAAATACAGATGCCTTCAGCACGAGAATGCACTGTACGATATACTGTTTGCTCCTTCATTGTCTTGGGATTTTAGATGAGAAGTTTTTAATTGCACCATCAAGCGTTAAGGATTTGCTTTCCAGAAAGTAAACAAACTTGTTCAAGCAAACCAATCTGTGATGGTTTTCAGAACTACTAATTGCAGATGGATCTAAAGGCAAATTTCAATTCTTCTCTAAAGTCAGACTTAGAATCTCTAGCTCCAATCCTGAGAGAGAGCAAATGGCCTTAGATCAATCCTGCTTTTTCTTTCACTTGTTTTCATATCTTCTTTTACTGAGGGTGCTTCCTCAAAAGTCTTATTTCACATGTCCAAATTGCTCTGAATAGTCCCTATTCTTTCCCTTTCTTCTCTATACTCTTGCGAAAGAACTATCTCTCCAAGGAAAAGAGCTGCCTTTTTAGGGGTCTTCTTTGATCACTAAGTTTCTGTGAATAAAGATTTTTTAAATAAGTGCAATGGCGTACGGCTCAGCCATAAAGAAGGATAAATCTGAGAATCTGTAGCTAGGTGGATAAATGTGAAGATCTTCTCTTAGGTAGTTTCTTGATTCTACCCCCATCTCCTCCAAGTCCTTATCCCTCAGTTAGCTCTGTCTGTCTGTATTGCTGTAAAACATTATACAACACCACAGAATGAGAACAACAAATTGCTTTCAGTGTTGTAAACTCTTAATCCAACACTTCTTTGGTGTTGTTGTTGTTGTTGTTGTTTTCAGGGGCATTTTTGGGGGAGGAGCCATTGTATCCTCTGAGGCATTGGAGCCCAAATTCTACCTACTGCTAATGCTCTGGGGATTGCTTACTGCATAAGTCTTTATGTCCATCTCACAATATTCATTTTAAACGTGCTTGTGAATGAGCTGTGTGTGGACAAACGCTCCCACAAAGGCAGATCCTGCAAAGCGAAGTCTATGTAGGTGATCAGCGTGCGTCGCGACTCCCCTTCAAAATCGTGTGAAGTAAGTGGCTGTCAGCTGTGAAATGTTAAATTGCCAGTCTCCAGACTTGCTGGTCAGTAAACACTAGTGTTACGCTGTGCCCACGTACGCGCAAGTGCTCCTTTACAGTACTGTGCGCTCCTGCACGCTCCTTGCTCTTTCAGGGCTCTGAAGCTGGGGAATTTCAGACTGGCACCACGTGTCTTAGCACAACTCATCAGACGCTCACATTTGAACTTGTCCCTCCTCCTGCTGTCCACAGCTTTTAGTATGTGTGTCACATCCTCCTGGAAGAGCATCCAAGCATCCCTCACTTGGTCTTGCCTTTCAGTTCCCCTCCTGTCCTGAGAAGTCACATGGGTCTGTCACTGTGCCCTGCTCCCAGGCACTGCTAGCGGGCTGAGTGTTTGGGAGGTGCCTGAACGTTCTTCTCGCTGCCCGGGACTCATTGCCTTTGGGACGCCACGCCTCCTCCCCACCAGAGGGCCCTGCTTTACAGGGGCAGAACTGTTCACTTGCCCTCGAAAGAACCAGTCTCTTTCTGTCTGATTTGAAATTAACATCTCCATTAGCTCTACTCTAGGGGCACTGAGATTTGTGCATGCTCAGAATGATAATCTTTTCCTGATGGGGAAAATAGACCAAAAAAAAATTATA